AATATCCTGAGGCAAGATGCTGAATCCCAAGTTGCCCCCAACCAATTCACTGGAATGAGAGAGTGTTAAGTTAAAGGTTCTTTGCTTCACATAGAAAAAACCTTGTCTTAATGTGTGTGTGTGTGTCTGTCTGTCTGTCTGTCTGTCAATGAGCCTCTTAGTAAGAGACTGCTTCGAGTGCTCAAATAGAATAGAAAAGCACCATATAAGTATAAGTCTTATACTGGCCTTACCATTTGACTCTAGAATACTACCCTCTACCACTGTGCTTAATAGTTGGTATGAAGTCTTTATACTGATATGCTTTTATTTCATCTCCACTTTGGTCTTATCTGTCCAAAAGACATTGTACCAGATGGCTTGTGGTTTGTTTGAATGCAACTTTGCAAAGCTCTAGCATTTTATTTCTCTTTTGCAATTTCCCCGAGCCCTGTAGATTGGTAAGTGCTGTGAATGTTTTCTACTTGTGAACATTTTTTCTTATTATACAATGATTGACTACAAATTGTTTGGAAATTGGCAAGAGTTGCTTCTTTACGATCACTGCTGATGTCTTTCCCCCTGTGGCATTGTAATAACACATACCTGAATACTCCAAATCTACAAACTGCCAAAACCTCTTCTTTTGTGCTCACAGTTTTTCTTGTGCATTGATCGGCAGCACCTGGCTGCCTACCTACCTTCTTAATTGCTTTTGAAACAGTAAGGGTGTACTTTTTCACACACTGCTTTTGTGTTTTGGCTTGTTTTTTTGCTACATAAATAACGATACGGTAAGGTGTGTCATGTTGCTGTTAATCCAAGGCTGTAATTAAACAATTTTAAGACCTGATTTAGAACAAATTATTAACAAAAAGTCCTGATACATAAAATCTTAAAGTTGAAGAATGGTTTACTTTCTTTTTACCTCTTTTTACTGTACATTAATATGTTCCATGTTATTCCTATACTATACTCTTTAATAGCATGTTTTCTCTGAACTATGCATAGTACGCATATTTTAAATCATATTTAAAAGTTCATGCTGTTGCTTCCTGCCTTGACTGCAGTGTGTTCTTGCCGTCCCAGGAGAGTCAGAGTCAGAGTATCTTTATATTGACCAGCCTTTCAGACAGCTCTCCAAGGAGACCCGGACCTATTACTG